CTGTGTATGAGGGTGTAATAGCTGGAAATGATTGAGCATCCTGGATAAATAATTGAAAGATAAAATAAAAATAATATGGGAAAGAGGGTCCCCCTGTTTAATGCCACGACGAGCAGTGACGAAGCCATAAGAATTTTCATTAACCAGCACAAAATAATAGTTATTAGCCAACCATATTTTAATCAAGGTGCAAAAACTAGTATTGAAACTTCTAGCTTTCAAAACGTTGATAATAAAATCTCAATTTATGGTATTGAAGGCTTTGTTGATATCTAATTTGATAATAAGATTGTCACTCCTGCATTTTTTATCAAGATCCTGCAAAATTTCCTGGGCCAAGAGAATATTGTCAGAAATATCACGTCCTTTAATGAAGGTCGACTAGTGAGGGGAGATGAGTGAAGGAAGGTGGGGTTGAAGACGAGCCACAATCAGTTTACTGATAATTTTAGAAATCACGGATGTGAGTGAGATGGGTCGAAAGTCCTTCCAATGAGATTTATCATTAGATTTAGGGATAAGAACAATCAGAACAGCAAAGAAATACTTTCCAGGATCTTCGCCCTGAAAAAAATTTTGAATTGCAAGAATCACCTCTTTCTTTATGATGTTCCAGCAGGAAATATAAAAAGCAGAAGTGAATCCATCAGGGACAAGAGCTTTCTGAGAACTAATATCTTTAAGGGCAGTGAAAATCTCCAACTCAATAGGGCGGTCGGACAGAGAGAGGGAGGAAACCAAGTCCCTCTAATCCTCAAACAAATTCGAAAGAATATCAGTGACAGGTAGAGTATCAGCATATAGAGAAGAAAAATAATCAGCTGCATTGGAACCAATTTGATCAGCATCAGTGAGTACAGAGCCCTCATCAGTAACAATCTTAATAATGGTATTTATGTTACGACAATGTTTGATAGTAGCATGAAAAAGTTTGGTATTTTTGTCACCGTTTTTGGAATAATTGTCACAAGCTTTCTGTTTAAGGAAATCCTCCTCAATAGTGATTTCCTCCAAAAGAGCATGATGAACATTAGCTAACTTTGCCACAAGATTAGGAGTGTCAATAACCTGAGCTTCTAAAGTGTCAACCTCCTGTTGGGCCTTCAAAACCCTAGAATGAACATTGTTAAAAGTATCAATGTTCCACCTCTTTAAGTGAGAAGCAACATCCTTATGTAATTGACATAAAATGAACCAAGGGTTATTACTCCATCTCGAGACCCAAGTCTGCTTTATCAAGTCAATAAAAGTAAGATGAGAAACCAAGACATTAAGAAATTTAAAATGATAACGAGCAGGTTTAGAATGAAAAGCCAAGCTAAGAGAAATGGGATCATGGTCTGATGCAGCATGATTAAGATGTTTGTTATTAATAATGTTGTAGTAATCCAGAAAAGAAGAGTTTCTCAGAAATCTATACAGTCTTTGCATAAGAAAACCCTGCTGCCAAGTGTAAGGAAAACCCAAAAAGCCTAAATCATAAAGAGCAGCATCCTCAATATGATCACAAAAATGGTTGATAAGGCTCGTATCAACCTTAGCACCACCCTATCTCTCAGAAGACGACATAATCATATTTAAATCCCCACCAACGAACCAATTCTCAGTAATAGTAACACCCATATGAGTAACTTGTTGCCAAAGAAGAAGCTTGTCACTTAAAAGAGAACTGGCATAAATGAAAGTAGCACAACCAAAAATACTCTTCAACTTATAATGAATTAGAACATATTGCACATTGTCATCAATAATGTTAAGAGTGATGTCTTTCAGGCAAAAGAGCCAAATTTTATTGTTCAGATTACTGTAATGCATGTAACCATTGAATATCTTAATGATGACCTCTTTATGAACCGTAACAAGAGACTCCAAAAGAACAAAAATGTCAGATTTATGGACTCTACATAAATGTTTTAAACGATTAAAGGAGTGAGGGTTCGCCACTCCTCTAATGTTCCACACCAGAATGTTAAACATCTTGGCCCATGACACCCCCCTCCTAGCAAGCCTATGGGGAAGGTGCAAGCGCTCGCTCTCCGAATGATATGTGGCATCAATATTTTTTGTCTGTGTCATAATTGGAAGTTCAAATTTCTTTCTGCCTCTTTTCCTACTATATTTTTGAATTTGTCATTCAGATTCTAACGCCTTGGCAGCCAAAGAAGCTGGATCCGGCAGTGGTGGAGCATCCAAAGAAATAGTAGGATGAGTGGTTGCTTGTGGGGGATCATGAACCTCTAATTGTTCAAGTAAAGCAGAGGGAATCTGAGGAATCTGAGCCTCAGATTCCGGTTCAGATGCAGCAATAGGTTCCACATTTTCATCAGCTCGCACAGGACCCATACGTGCCACTTCCACAGAGTGAGCAGAACTAGTTACCTCCAAACAGGGAGCAACCAGCTCAAGAGGGCCCATGCAAGCAACTTCAGCGGACTGAGCAGCCGGTTCAAAATTATTAGTTCGAAGAGCAGAATTCTGCTTAACAAAGGCCACACAACCAGCAGAGGATTTCCGCAATTCAGGGTGCAAATGAAAACAGTGTTCCGGATCATGACCAAACATGCTACAGTGCGAACAGTAGTGAGGATGTTTCTCAAGAAACACCGGCTGCCAATAACCCGTATGATTAGATCCAATCCAAACCTCCTCCGGAGGAGGTAAGGTAACATCACGTTCTATTGATATTCTAGTCATTGAGGATCTTGTTAAATTAAAGGTAGGGGCATTAAGCATTAACGGCTTACCATACATTGCAGCTATAGAAAACAAAATTTCGTGATTGAATAAATGCACCTTTAAACCCGGAAGTCTAAGCTAGACGGAAATAATAGGTAGCTCAGTCTTAGGATCAAACTCAGTAGTTCATTTAAGAACTTTCATCCAAATATCACCAAAATGAACAGTTCTGCGTGCAAAAAGCTTAGCATAATCGTCCTCATTTGAGAGTTGGATCAGAATGTGCCTGCTATCAAGAGCACCGATCTTACAACCCCTTGAAAGATTCAAAAGCTCAAAATGCTTTAACAAGATATCATATTTCGGAAGCCCATAAAGGAATTTACCAACAAGATGCAATCGACAGGCAGAGGCAAGAATGGAGTTCTCAGAGTAAGAGAGAAAAAGCGCACACCTCATCTGAGAGTTGGATCAGAATGTGTCTATTGTCAAGAGCACCGATCTTCCAACCCCTTGAAAGATTCAAAACCTCAAAATGCTTCAACAAGAAATCATATTTCGGAAGCTCATAAAGGAATTTACCAACAAGATGCAAACGACAGGCAGAGGCAAGAATGGAGTTCTCAGAGTAAGAGAGAAAAAGCGCACACTTCCCTCCCTTACGACCCTAGGACTTAATAAAATTGTATTCCCCACCAAGAACAAGTGAATCATGGAAAGAAGAAGGAAAAGCAAACTTCGGAGGAGAACCGGAGGATAAAACCCCTGCAGTGACTTCGCCATAACCGGCGAGAGAACGAAGAGACGAGAAAAGAAACCAGGAGCGTAGGAGAAGCCAAAACCAAACGAAAGGAAAGATTTCATCGGAGAAGGACCGTCGAGAAGGAGACCACGCTGTCAGCAAACCCTAGAATTGGACCTCCCGAATCGCCGCGCCGCGCTATATATATATATATATATATATATATATATATATCCTTAAGAAAAAAAATAAATAGTTTAACTAATTAAACTCAAATTTTGGATTAGACATAAGCAATGATAATTAAATTAAACAGGATAAAATTAAATTAAGGAAAGATAAAAAATTCAATCAGGTTGATATATTGTAACTAAGAAAGATGTCTTAAATTAAATTATCCTAAAACTACTTACAAAAACACATAAAAAGGAGAATTAATATTAAATTAATTAAAGTCAAAAAAAAAAGGAGATGAAGGTAACAAGGGTGTGCAAGAGTATAAAAACTAATTTTTTTCTTATTTGGAAAATATACACATTTAACCAATTAGATGGTTTTATCATCATGCAATATAAATAAGAAGATTTTCAAGTTTGCTAAAAAATATATATGTATTTATTAATTATAATAATAATAACAAATTGTAGAGTAATAAAGTAATAAATGCTAATCAAGTCTACGTTTTTATTATAAGTTATTCATCCAGTATAGTAGCCTACCTAGGGAGGATAACTATTAGATGGAAAAATGGCAAGGTTGGCTTTAACTAGTTAAAAGCCTAAACCGATTCACCTTACCGCCTCGATAGTCAACCAATTAGCCCTTGGGGCCTTTAGTTGCTAGGTTTGGGTTAGAATTAGATTTGTTTGTTTCTTCCTGGTAAAAATATTTGATGAGACATGTTCTCAGAGACATTGCTAGATTTTATGTTATTTTGAGAATCAAGCCCTATTTTCTCCACCTATAGGAGTGCTGTAGCCTTCTCATTCAAGTGGTGTTTAATATCTCTTGATTGAGTGCATGTGATGAAAACTTCTCTTTACTTGTGTAGCTTCACGTCCGTTAACCTATCCAAATGTTATTATTTTGGCGTTTTCTTTGTTCCTATCCCCTTAAAAACATAGCAAATCTCACTCTTGATCCCTCACCATCATCTAAAACCCAAGACCCGTTTCCTGACATGTTTAGATGGGGATATCCTACAAAGGTCATAATGTGGTTACATATGCTATTAACTTTCCACATACAAGTGTCGTTGTGTCATGACTATTAAATTTGAGAACATGCGCACAGCATATGTGATTGAGGCATTATTACATACTTTTTTTGCCCTGTTATGTTATTCCTTACTATTTATCATATACCTAAAGGTCCAAATGCAGTTGTAAATAAACCATAGTATGATCTACCAGGGTGCAAGAAAGATCATTCCTGGGAAGCAGACATTTAAAGAAAGCATACAATTTGGTTACTAAAGTTTGAAATTTTATTCCTTTGAACTGATCAATAAATATAAAATGAGTTGAAAAGTATTGATGAATTAAAATATTAATAAAAGTAATTCAAAAGAAAACCCATGTACCTGGGAGGACTCGAAGATATATCCATCATTGGTTCCTGCTAGAAGTTCAAAAGTTCTAATAGTCCCTTCCTACCATAGATGAGGCAGCATATATAAGTGATGCAAACAATTTTAAACACAAAAACATTCAAAGTACCATGAGGATTATATCTTCTTCAGAAGCAATCTTAATCCATTCCACATTTGCAACTTTGACCTGTAAAACTTGTATGAAAATGTAAGATACACAACAAAAAAAATATATAGAGTAAGGTGCTTCAAAAAATGAAAGCAGCATGTCACTTACACAAAGAATAATTAGTTACAAATGTGCAGAATTTCAAAAGAGATGTAATTTCACATATATCTATCAAAACAATCAGCGATGTTGATCCAAGCTCAAATGGTCAAGTTGAGAACTGAAGCAAATATAAAAAATGTACGATGATAATAAGATGCAAAATATTTGCATTAATGATCCCTATTAGTCTTTGGCTTTTTGTTGAAATTCAAAATAATGCGAAATATTTTTATTGATATGAAAGTTGGAATAAATACCTAAAAGAAGAAAGACAATAAACAAAAATAACAGGTAAAGAAAGATATAACACCTAATATCTCCAATTAATCAATTCATATTAATTATTTGGAGAGAAAGAAAACAACATAAAATAGAAAAGCCTAAAATAGGAATAGAAATAAAATTATATTAGTAAATAAATTTACTTCTCATAACTTATAACAGGAATAAATTATTTTCTAATATAACTTCTAACACTCCCCGTGAAGTTGAATTATAGTCGAAAACTATGTTCAACTTGAACTTTAAAAATCAAATAATAGGCGAGGAAGAAACCGTGAGGTAGAACTTGAAGTCTTCATCTCGTACTGCTGTTGTCTTAAACTGCATTTCCTGCGGTGTCTGTAGCTAGGCGGAAAACTCTTATAAAGAATGTTGTAGAGGATTTTGTAGGGAAGTAGACAACTGTAGTTGTCTTTGACTACAGATCTTACAGTGTTTGTAGAAATGTGGAAGGCTCCTACATTTAATGCTGCATAGAATTAGACAACTGTGGTTGTCTTTAACTACGGTTCCTGCAGTGTCTGTAGGTAAGAAAGAAGGGAGTCTGACGGCCATGAAAAAAAGGGAGTTTGCAGAGAAGTAGATAACATGCAGAAAAAGCTGACTTCTAGTTGACTGTGATTGTCTTTAACTACAGTTCTTGTAGCAGAAAAAAATCTGAAAGGAGGGCTTGATACAAGAAGAATTTGATGGAGGACCTGTCGTAGAAAAAATTCTAGAGGGTTTCATACAGGAAAAAACTCCAGAGGATGACTTGTTGTAGGAAAGCTACCGATGAGGGTCTACTACAAGAAAAATTCCAGATGAGGGCCAAATATAGAAAAAAACTCCAAAGGAGGACATGATGCAAGAAGAATTTCCTTAGAGCACTTACTATTGCGACATCTAACAATGGATGGCAGAAAGCAACCTAAGGCAAGCGCCAGTGTCGCCAGAATCCAACAGCCAGCCCCACCGCAGCAGATCAGCTGTCACATGATGTTTCCCCACTCAAAAGTGCCAATGTATACGCGTTGGTCGATCAGAAAGCTCAAGAGTGACGCCGCACCATTGAATTAGCTGTGGTCGTTGTCGTTCCTACTTTTAAATCTAGGTCCGCAACCATTGCGGTTGCTTCTAATGAGGATAAGGATGATAGCTGACCTAAGGGAACTTAGCTGCCATCTCTCACTCTTGCTTCTGTAAGAACTCCCGTTTGATGAACCCAAGCTAAGAGAGAAATGTTGTTTAAGGGTTGTCGGTCCACATTAAGGGCAGCATACTCACAACAAAGAGAGAAATGTTGCCTGATATGCCAAGCTAAGAGATGATTTGGCAAGTGCAAGGCTAGAGATCAACATCTGCATGAAGGTATGTGGTTTGGATTTTTTCACTGTCGGGATCTTCGCCAAGTTGAGTTTTTGGTTCTACAAATAGGTTATCTGGAGCAATTAATTGACTAGCCTCTTGCACATCTGAAAGAAAAGCTTGGGCTTCTTCAATGACCTAGTGTTTTCCCCCTTGTGTTCAGAAAGTTTGATCGCTAAAATAATACGACTCTATTCTAGTCGTGCTATTGCAACATCTCGCTCTGCTTGTTGTTGTCATTGTATGGTATGAAAGACTTCGATCTAATCCTCGAGAATCTCTAGTGCATACCTAATGGTGTTAAGGCTCCTTGCCCCAGGCAGCGTCCTCGTCCGCCCTGAAACCCTTAACGAAAACGTACCCACATTTACTTTAGTCACATTCGTAGTGTACTTCTTCATTCGGCAGAAGCTTCTTCTCCAGAGTAGACAGGGAGATATTCTTAATCGAATTCAGAAAGTGAGCTATGGAGATCTCATGGATGACGTCGCTGATCTGATCATGGAGGTCCCAGATCCTCTCCAGAACATCTTTTATCTGTTCAATCTCCATCTCCCATTTCATCCTGTAAGTTAGGGTTACAGTATCCCACAGGCCATTCTCGGAACCGCGGACGCGGCTTCGTCAGACTGGGTAATAAGAGGGAGATGTAAAAATATTACGAGAAAATTGCTAAGGAGAGTCACCCCCTTCCTATAGGGAGGATGACAAGAAGGGAGTCCAGCGGCGGCTCTGAAAAGAAGACCGGTGGCTAGGGTAGGAAATTTAGCTCTGATAACATGTTGAAAGTCAGAATAATGCGGAATATTTTTATTAATATGAAAGGGGGTATAAATAATCTGTACATGAATCATAGAATAGGAAAGACAATAAAAAGAAACAACACGAAATGAAAGATATAATACATGATATCTTTAATTAATCAATTTTAATCAATTTATATTAATTATTTGAAGATAAAGGAAACAACATAAAACAGAAAGCCTAAACTAGGAAAGGAAATAAATCTAATCCAAGAAAATAAATTTAAAATAGGAAAGGAAATAAAATTACATAAGGAAACAGACCTGATCATCATAACTTCTAATGGGAATAAAATATTTTCAAATATAACTTCTAACCATTTTTATAATTTTTTTTTTATTCAGGTAGGATTTTTTATGTACATAGCTAATATGTTATATGATGAGAAATCATCCGTGATTTTTATTTAGTGCCCTACTTTTAGCGTCTCAAATAGCTTAGGCAATCTCAATTGTTTGATCTGATAGTCCTATTGGTTTGGACGTCATTGCTACAGTGAAGCTTCACCTACTATCCCATGATTCTTCAAGGCTAAAGTCTAATCCTCTTTTCAGCAGCCTATTCAGCATCTATGGATTACCAAAGTGATCTACAACTACATCTTTCTTTTAAAATGGATATAGCAACTAGTTGAGTGAGTCAGTTAAGTATCAGTAAGTTTTAAGTTAAAATGATAGAATTTTACAGATTATTATCACTAAAAACATTACTTTTGGGAGGAATTTTTCACCTAATATGAGATGAAGATTTCAAACAATAAATAAAATAAAAATAATGATGCAAATAGAACAAGGATGAAATAGAAAAACTATTAAACAAATTTACGACAGAAACATCCCTAATTACTATAGCTGCACCAAAGCAGCACTGTAGCAATGCCAAGGCATAGTTCTATCAAAATAGAGTACAGAGCGTTGAGGCACTACCCTAGCAGTGCTGCGAAGCTACAAACAGTCAAGAAATAAGAAAGACCGCCGCGGAATCAAGGAAACAACGTCACAGCACTAAAACCTGACAACTTAAATTTGAAGGCAATTTTCAAGCCAGGCCAATTTAGGGAGGCCATGTAGAGCACACTTGCTGACAAACATAGAGGATTACAAGGCGACATAGAGAGGAGGGTAGAAATGTGAGAGCATTAGAGAGAGCCGATGAGAGCAAGAAAAGAAAGACTGGGAAGAAAATCTAAGGGAGCTAAAAATTATAACCCTAGTCCTTCTCTTTCAAACTTTTTGTTGTTTGGTGAATTTTAAAATAATATTATGTTTTGTTTGTTATTTTTTGTGTGAAAGCATGAACTAAATTATGTAAACTCGTGCTTAATTTATACTATTTTATGTGCAATTCCTGTGTTACTTGTGTGATTAATGAAAATTTGTTCAATTACTAGTCACATGTTTACTTAAATTTTAGTGTAATTTCTGGATATCAAAATAGTCATAAATAAACAATAAGAAGTAAATTAATAAATTCTAGAGTATGAAAAACATATAAATAAGAATTTGCAATCCATTATAAAATATTCACAATGAATCGCTTCTTCTACTTCATATAGATAATTATTGAATTAGAATGAATAATTTGCATTTATAACTTATCGAGAAACACTAAAAAATATAATTCCTCTTAATGAACTAATAGTCTATTCCAACTTATGACAAGACAGAAATTAATATAAGCAGATCATATAACTAGGGCACTCTCTCCAACTATTAAATCCAAGTTCTAAAATATTTTACTTTGTATACTATTGTTTAAATTAAATTAGATTAAAAGGTTGAATAAAAACTAGAAAAACATAAAATCAATAATTAACTTATCACCGTTTCAATATTATGCTTCGGGAAACAATACTCTACTCACTTTATATTTTTATTTGGGATACGTGAACTTACATACACTATTCTAGCTGATCACAACTTTCTTATATTTCTCAATTTGGTTGCAATATAAAATTAGACGAGGGCAAGAATTTGCGATCTTGCTAAAGTCACAAATCATTGACAGGGGCATTTAATTTTTTTTAGTTATAAAAGGGAATAAGAAGAATACACAAATTCAATTGGTTGTTGAAAAAAAATTGTTTATTTGAATACTCAATTTCTTTTTCTTCCAAAAACAAAGTAAAAGAGTTGATAAATTCTAGAAGAAATATCCACATGTATAACAGAAAGCATGATTCTAACATGAATTCTTCCCATCTTTTTTATTCCACACTTCTTCCTTTCTGATATTTTAGTTTATTAATTTGAAGTAACATGGTGATTAATCAAGTTTTCTACAATTAAGATTACTATCAAGCACATGAAAACCACTCTTGTTTGCCTTTTTGAATCCTTATGCTTGTAGTTAATTTCGAGTAAAGAACCATATAACTATCAACTGCCATAGCTTCTATCATATTATCGATTTCATCAAAATAAATTTAGTTGACTTAGATCAATAGCTTTTTTCTTACAAAGTTTGCACGATTGTTGCATCAC